CTCTCTCTCTCTCTCTCTCTCTCTCTCTCTCTCTCTCTCTCTCTCTCTCTCTCTCTCTCTCTCTCTCTCTCTCTCTCTCTCTCGCGGGCTCTCTCACGTGCTCTCTCATGCGCTCCCTCACGCGCTCTCTCGCGCGTTCTCTCGCGCCCGCTCTCACGCGTTCTCTCACGCGCTCTCTCCTGCGCTCTCTCCTTCGCGTTCGCTCCCGTGCACACGCTCTCCCTCGCACCCCGTATCTGCCCTTCTTCAAATGAAAGTGCAATGCAATTGGAGACCAGTTGCAAGAAAAAAACGAAGAGAGTAAAAAATAAAGAAAAAATTTCAGAGGGCGGAAGGAGGATGAAAGGACCGGGAACGAACCTGATACCCACGGCCTCAGAAAACAACCCGCGCCCGCGCACCCGCGCTCACCAATCCGCGCTCGCGCGCCAACCCGCGCTTGCGCTCCGGGCACCTGTCGCCGGAGGCGACGGCGGGGAGGAGGAAGAGGCGACGACGGGGAGGAGGAAGAGGCGACGGTGGGGAGGAGGAAGAGGCGACGGCGGGGAGGAGGAAGAGGCGACGGCGGGGGGAGGGAGAGGCGACGGCGGGGAGGAGGAAGAGGTGACGGCGGGGGGAGGGAAAGGAGACGGCGGGGAGGAGGAAGAGGCGACGGCGGGGAGGAGGAAGAGGCGACGGCGGGGAGGAGGAAGAGGCGACGGCGGGGAGGAGGAAGAGGCGACGGCGGGGAGGAGGAAGAGGCGATGGCGGGGAGGAGGAAGAGGCGATAGCGGCGGGAGGGAGAGGTGACGGCGGGGAGGAGGAAGATGCGACGGCGGGGAGGAGGAAGATGCGACGGCGGGGAGGAGGGAGAGGCGACGGCGGGGAGGAGGGAGAGGCAACGGCGGGGAGGAGCGAGAGGCGACGGCTGGGTGGGAGGTAATGGCGACATCGGGGTGTTAGGAGGGTAGCTATGTAGGGAGTCGCGACGGTAGGTCGGGTTGGGTTAGAGAAGAAATTGGGGTGGGGTGGGGAGGAAAAGGTGCTTGCCGAGAGGAATCAAGAACCAAGAACAAGAACCAAGAACAAATACCAAGAAACGAGCCGATTCTTGTTGACAGCTGTGAAAGGGACGGATACTGTACATCATGGGCTTGGTTGTCTTGGAGCTAGCGACAAATTTTCTGCCAGCGCAGAACGAGGCACGAAAACTTATAAACTGTACATGGGAATACACACGATGCCCAACCAGTGCACGCGAAATTGCCCTGCCCATGATGGAAACCTTACACCTGTGGGTTTTTTGCACTGACGTTGCACCCTGTTTATAAGCACGTTAAACCACTTGACCCCACCTGGTGAATACGCCCAAAACTGCTCGCGTAGATACAAACAACAGCCGCCGACCTGGACATTCCCAGTTTTGTACGCCAGAAACAGAGTCCACGAAATGTCTGGACGAAACTCCGAAAACGTCGCCGGGGTTAAGGCATGTTACGTCATGCCACGTTGGACGTTACCACGTGCGTATAACAGTCTGTGGATGTCTGCTGAATGCCACCTGTACCTTGCCCTTGCCCGATACACGCCCTCTGTGAGCCGTTCAGTCGGTGAGGAGCACACGTCACCCTTCATGGTTGTGGTTACACGGTAGCACAATCTCTAAACATCAAGCCAAATGCACTCAAGAGGAGCACCATATTGCACTCCTTCTAAGCCGCGCGTTGAGATTCGAATTGACATAAATCCTCCCGACACTCTTCACTAACTCAAGTTCATTACTGGCTCAGAGGCACACAATGCCTCGTCTCTATCACCGCTCCCAGCTTGCTCTGCATATCAAAAGGGCCATCTGCGCCCACCACGTTGCTCACCCGCTGCTCCGCCATGTAGATCTCGCGCGTTGGTGTTTCACACGCTTTGGGGTACGGCCCGACCGATCCACCATCGGTCGAGTGTTGAAGGGCGCCGAACGATGGCGCATCCCGGACGGCGCTGTTGACGCTATTCGTGTTCGTGGCGGCGCGTACCCGGACCTAGAGCGCGCAATGGCACGTTGGATTGCCAATGCGGGTCCCGCTGGCGTTCCGCTGACATTGGCCACAATCCGCGACCATGTCGCGACCATGGCACGAGCGAATGGTGTGCCAGCGTCATTTCGAGCCTCTATTGGCTGGGTGCGGCGTGCTTTGCGCCGCCTCGGTGTAAGGTGCATGAGCGCTGTCGGCGAAGCGGCCGACCAGGACATGAACGCCGTCCGCACCGCTCGGGAGAAGCTTCCGCAGCTTCTCATGCAACTCGGCGTACGCCCGCGCGATACGTTTAACTTCGACGAGACGGCGCTATTTATCTCCGTTCTGCCGCGCAAAACATACGGCACCGGCAGGTCGGCGGGGCGGAAGGCGCCGAAGGAGCGACTAACCGTCGGATTCCTGGTGAACGCAGAAGGCTCGCACGCCTTTCGCCCGCTCGTCATCTCAAAGGCGAAACGACCCCACGATTTCCGGCCGGACTACAATCCGGAGGAGCTATGCTACTGGCGCAACACCGCCAAAGGTTGGATGACTTCCTCGGTGAGGAAGTGTGGCGATGTGTTTCCACTGTGTTTGTACTGGCCCCGCCCCACTACATTACCGGCCCTGTAACTCACCCCTTTCTCCCTTGTCTTTTGTGTCAACCCGTGTTTGCTTGGCAGCTATTCACGCACTACATCGAACAACTCGACGCCTCCATGAACGCAGAGGACCGGCACATCGTTGTACTGCTCGACAACGCAAGCAGCCACAATCTGACAACCGAGGGCGCCGTGACCGAAGATCTCTTCGGTTTCCGTACGCGTGCGCTCAATAACGTGCGCCTGGTGTTCATGCCACCTAACACCACCTGCTTCATTCAGCCCCTTGACCAGGGGCTCATTGCGATGGCGAAGGCGCGGTACCGCCAGCATTGGCTCCGCGCATTCACGGGCATGTGGACTGCCGAAGGCGCCACCTCCGCGGCAGCTAGGTTCAAACCGAACCTCCGTCTAGTGCTGGAGTGGCTTCACGACGCGTGGATGAATATCCCGCGTAGCACCATCCAGCGTTGCTGGTGGTGCACCGGTTGTCTCCCGCGCGCCTGGGCGATGGAACTACCGCACGTGGAGCCAGGAGTTGGCGGCGGCCCCACGGCCGGAGGTGACATTGGCCTGGACGATGACGTCAACGACGTCGGTAGTCTCATTGACCGGCTCGGACTCGGGCCCAGCGCGATGCCCGCTGAGGATTTTGTCGGCATCGATGCCAACCAGCCGACGTGCGCCGAGCCCGGTGAGGATCCGTTGGCGACGGAGCCGCGATCGGAACCGACGGCGGAGATGTGGGAGGCGCCTGCGTCGACGCAGGTGGTGTACGACGACAGCAACCCTGCGACGCGCGAAGCAGTCGCACCGCTCGGGCCGCGTGCGAAATGCTCATTGGCTACGCGCGCGCGACATGCATCCAGCCCCGGGACCTGTGCGCACTGTTTGACATTCGTAACCCAATCATCATCGCCCGCATGGAGCGTGCAAGCCCTGCTCTCAACCTTAACGCGTCTCCGCCACCCGCCATGTCGCACGAGGAAAGGCCACCGGCAGAGACTCCATGTCGCCGTGGTCGCCTGCTGCCAGCGTGGATAACGGTGCCGACCCCTGACTGGGTGGCCCAGTCTGCGCGCCGGCAGGAGCTCATGAATGCCGGTGCTCCCGCTGTGATGTCAGGCTACTTGGCTGCCGCTGAGTGGATGCGGCTGTGACGGCCCTTCGTCACCACTTAGGAGGAGTGCATATCTCCTCCTCGTCCCGGCTGTGCGTGAGTCATGAGAGGGGATTCTGTCCCCCTTAGAGGATTTTGGTTCCTCGCTAATGCAACAGGTGTACGCCTTGTACACATTCGCAAGAATATGACAGTACGAGTGGGTATTTGGGTTGGGTACAGGTGGAGCAGCTTTATTGGGTGGATAGATGAACGTGTTGTTTGTGACAGTGCTGGACGTGAAATGTAATGGGGTGTTAATGAGATGGGTGAAAATTGTGGTAACAGACCCATTGAACGCACACCAAACTAGGCCACCCCACACTGTTTAGAGAAAAGACAAACGGGTAACAACCCGTGCCTTTTAGGAGCAACTCTTTGCCGTGGCGAAAGCCACGAAGTGCCCGAAATGACATGTGCGCTTATAAGCCCAGAGCACAAGGGGAGGATGGGGGACTATAACGCGCATCAGGTGTACAAGTGTTCTCGTTTATAGTCTGACGGATCAACATCGCCGCGCGCGGACTATGTGGCAAAACCTTCAAACCCCAGGCAAAACGCGATACTTATAGTCCCGTTCAGGAAAATTGCATGAATAGTGGTTGTTTTGCTACTAGTTTCTGCAGTTTGGCATTCACGTAGATTTGGACCGCGCTTGCTTCAACTTCTAGTCGCACAGTTTTCCACGCTGATCAATGTCGCATGACTAACGGTCAAAACTAAACAAAATCAACTATGGTTTGGGGGTCGAATAGTAACCCAAAAACTTCATTTCTACCCTGTAAGCGAGATAAATGAGATGTCATCGTCGATCGCGTTGGAGACAGCGCGACAGGATTGAGAATCAGTCGTGGTCAACAGAAACAATTAATTACAATTAAAAGGTTAAAATATTGAATCGATGATCCCTTTTCATCGTTCTCTTTGAATGTTGGGCTGGTTTGATCTGGAGCCTCTGATTGGCTGTGGAGCTGATTCTGCAATGATTCGATCAAGCTGCAAAATTTCCCGCCAAAAACGGGACTATAGGGGTCGGGCCAACCCTAGGCGATATCGGAAAATTCTACTCAGGGGAGAAAAGGGCCTCTCTCAACGAAAGCCTCTAAGCAGGAACACCTATATGTGCGCACTCGCAATTTGCAATACCTGGGCACTTGCCACAACGAATATGTACAAACAAAACCTGGGCACCTGGCAAAAAAAAATCATACACATACACATACACACAAGATTTGGAAGCTAGTGCCACGTGAACCACGCCATCCAAATCCTAACAGTTGTTGCAAGGGAAAATATGCCATTTGTAACCAACGTGGGACTCGATAAAATAAAATGGTACGGTCATTGCGAATGGTGTTTTCACGCGACTCATAAAACGTTTCACGGATTTGTTGAACAAGAATGAATGAACTAAGAGTGAAATGAGTACAAGTATCAAAACCTAGGAATGTGTACCCCCTATAGGCTAACCCACTGTAGCCTAAACAACTACAACAACATATATAATGTTTGACACACCCCCATAGGCGAAGTTGGGGAGAACTAGGGGTCACAAGACCAGTCAAGTAAAGCAAAACAAAGGAAGCTCAGGGTGGATCACGACGTCACCACACAATCCAAGCACAAGTGCAAGGCCACAAGGCCAGTTCACATGAAGGAGTACAGATATATATATAAGACTAAACAAGCAAGAGCAGTGATATATATATGTAACAGTTCAAAGAGGGTCAAGAGGAGAGCAAGTGAGGCAAGACAGACACAAGACCCAGCGGGGTACAGCAGCGCTGATGATCACAAGGCGGAAGTGCCTTGGTGAAGACATCAGCAGTGTTGGCCTCAGAGGCCACGTACGCAAGTCGCAACTGACCACGCTGCTGTAGCTCACGAGCAAGGAAGTAGCGGAGAGCAATGTGCTTTGTTCTGTGCTCCAGTCTCTGCTCCCGACACAAGGCCAGCATGGCCTTGTTGTCGACGTACAGGACTGGAGGAGAACGAGGCGGCTCTCCAAGGTCGGTCAGCAGGTAGGTGAGCCAGCGAAGCTCCTGAGCAGCCATGGCCCCTGCGTAGATCTCAGCCTCACAACTGGAGCCAAGAACAGAAGACGAGCGAGTAGCTCGCCACGAAACAGAGCCGGAACCAAGGCTGAAGGTGTAACCCTGTGACGACCGCTGCGTAGCCTGGTCGTCAGCCCAAGAAGCGTCTGCGTGTCCAGTGAGGACCACTGGACTCCGCCCTCCAAGCACTAGCCCCATGCCCGACGTACTGCACAAGTAGCGCAACACCCTCTTCGCTGGAGCCATGTGCTCTGGTCGGTGTCTCCCAGGAGCAACATAGCGTGCAAGAATGCTAAGAGGGTATGCAAGGTCAGGTCGTGTGCAGGTCATCAGGTACATGAGACAGCCAACAAGCTCTGGGTACGGGCCACTCGACTCTACGGACTCATCCGAAGGCAGAGCTGAGAGCGAGTGGCGAGTAGATAGAGGAGTGGCCTGAGGCGAGGAGTACGTGAAGCCGAAGCGCTGAAGGACCTACTGCACCATGTGTGACTGAGTCAGGGTAATGGTGCGGCGTGCTCTGTCCCGGGTGATCTGCAAGCCAAGGTAGCTGCGCAGTTCACCCAGGTCAGTGCACGTGTGTCTCTTCTGCAGCTCGGACTTCACGTAGGCGAGTCCAGTGGTGTCAGCTGTGGCAAAGACCAAGTGGTCGACGTACATGAGGATGTAGAACGGCGGCAGAGAGGTGTCGGTGCGCAGAAACAGCGACGGGTCGGCAGTAGACGGAGCGAACCCAAGAGCCGCAAGCGTAGTCCTCAGTGTGTCGTGCCACTCACGTGGCGCCTGGCGGAGACCGTAGACTGGACGCCGGAGACTCCACTGGGTACCAGGAGGGAAAGACCCAGTGAAGCCAGGTGGGCGGCGCTGCCAGATCTCCTCGTGCAGGCTGCCCTGCAGGAAAGCTGTGCTAAAGTCGAGAGAGTGCAGCTCGTAGTCCCGGTGAGCAGCAACGTGCAGCAGTACCCGAAGAGTGGTCATCTTCGGGGTGGGGGAGAAGGTCTGAAAGTAGTCAACTCCCTGTCGCTGACTGAAGCCACGAGCCACGTAACGCGCCTTGAAGACAGGCGGAGAACCCGGCGGCCGCTTCACCCTGAAGATCCACATGCCACTGACGATGTTCGCCCCAGGAGGGGGGACAGCGTCAACGTAGGTGCGTGTGGACTTCCAGGAAGCCATCTCTGCATCCATAGCTGCCTGCCACTGAGAGGAGTAGGGACCCTCTATCGCCTCCGCGTAAGAGCGCGGAGTCGGGATGTCAAGTGCATCCGGGTTTCCCTCAGGGGTAAGCGGTACGGACACGAGATGAGGTGAAGCAGCTGCCAGACACTGGAACTCCTCCTGCCTGTCCTCAAGGACGTCCGTGCCAAGGGCACACTCACCCCCGACGGACGGAGGACAGACAGACTCAGACTCAGCGACAAGACTAGCAGCGTAGTCTAAGCGACAGCGAGCAGCAAAGTCGACGAGCTCAGTAACGAGAGCAGACGCAGCAGTAGACTCGAAAGAAGGGTCAGTGACAACAGTAGCAAGGAGACGCGTGACAGTAGGACTGGCAGCACGAAGAGAGTCCAACTCAGGGTCGGCGAGAGCAGGAAGAGAGGAAGCAGGAGGAGAAGGCAAAGGGGCACGCAGAGGAGCAGTAGACGGACGTAGAGACATCCGGTGCGTGCCAGGGGCAGGAGGAGGACGCTGGCGCGAACTACGAGCACTAGCGCTAGCAGGACGGACAGGCGACGCCGGACGAGACGTAGACTCACGACGCTCAGTAAGACCGCCAGTAGGACCAGTGTAAGGAGAAGGAGCAGGTAGTGGGGAGGCCGGCTGCAACTGTAACTGTGACGGGACAGGCTGTGAACACGCTAAGGGAGGAGGACCAGGAGGAGGCGAGAGACCAAGAACCTGCTGAAGGAGCGGAATGAAGTACGGCTGAGGGCGCGCGGCGACTCCAGACACAGCAGGGACAACACCTGTACCCCAAGCGGCAGTACCAGAACCAGCAGCAGCTCCAACGCCCAGGTCCTCAGTACTAGCCTCAGCACCAACGCCCGAGTCCTCAGCACCAGCAGTGGCTCCAACACCAGGGTCCCCAGCACCTGCCGCAGCTCCAACGCCCGGGTCCTCAGCACCAGCACGGACTCCGACACCAGGGTCCACAGCACCAGCCGCAGCTCCAACGCCAGGGTCCGCAGCACTAGCCGCAGCCCCAACGCCCGGGTCCTCAGCACCAGCAGCACCTCCAACCCTCGGGTCCGCAGCACCAGCAGCAGCTCCAACGCCAGGGTCCGCAGCACCAGCAGCAGCTCCAATGCCAGAGTCCGCAGCACCAGCAACAGCTCCAACGCCCGGGTCCGTAGCACCAGGGGCAGCCGGGTCCGTGAGACGAGGCGCACCACTCCGAAGTGTGCAACGGCGCTCGTACCACTCACGGATCCGCTCACGAGAGGGGAGCTCCCGACTAGGAGGAGAAGTACCAGCCCCAGTCCCTGTAGTGCACCTGGTCCCAGAGGTAACACTCCGGAGGCTGCAGTACTGTAAGTACCACTCACGCAACTGCTCCGAGGAGAGGTCGCGTCAAGGTGTAGCACCCTCAGGCCCAGCACCGCAAGGCTCAGCACCCCCAGTCACCGCACCCCCAGGCTCAGCACCCCCAGGCTCAGTACCCCCAGTGTCCGCACCCCCAGGCTCAGCACCCCCAGAGTCCGCACCCCCAGGCTCAGCACCCCCAGAGTCAGCACCCCCAGGCTCAGCACCCCCAGTCTCCGCACCCCCAGGCTCAGCACCCCCAGCAGGACGAGAGTCGACAGCAACCTCAACAGGCTCGACCGGGTCTACCTGAGACACACCTGAGGGAGGAGGGGGTCTACGACAGCAGCACCTGGCGCGAGGAAGAGAGGCGGGGGTGGGAGCGGGGCAGTGCGGTAGGGAAAGAGGCGGTAGTAGGGGACAG